CCCTTCCTCGTCGAGGTGGATGCCTCCATCTCGGGGGTAGAGCGGTCCCTCTCTCAGCGGCAGGGGAATCTCTCAACTCCATCCATGCGCCTTCTACTCCAAGAAGCTGTCCCCGGCGGAGCAGAACTACGACATCGGCAACCGGGGAGTTGCTAGCCATTAGTTGGCATTGGAGGAATGGAGGCACTGGCTGGAGGGAGCCCAACACCCGTTCACGGTGATCACTGACCACCGCAACTCGAGTACTCCGGGAGGCCAAGAGACTCAACCCCCGTCAAGCCCGTTGGGCCCTGTTTTTCACTCGCTTCAATTTCGCAGTCACCTATCGCCCCGTGGAAAAGAAACGTAAAGGCAGATGCGCTCTCCCGTCAGTTCAACCTGAGACACCTTCTTCCGAGCCTGAACCCATACTCCCTCCAGCCGTGGTCGTCAGCCCCATCCAATGGAGCCTAGATGACCACATCGCCGACGCCACGCAACTCGAACCTGCTCCGCCGGGAGGTCCAGAGGGGACGGGTCTATGTTCCAACCCGTCTACGCCTGTCCCTCATGGACTCAGTACACACCTCTCCGGGCTCTGGACACCCAGGCAGCCAAGCCACTCTCTCGCTCGTCCAACAGCGCTATTGGTGGCCGGGTATGGCCCAGGACGTCTCCCGGTTCGTCAGCAGCTGCTCAGTCTGTGCCATGGCCAAGGTTCCCCGTCATCTCCCAGAAGGCAAACTGGTTCCGCTCCAATACCCACTCGACCGTGGTCCCACCTCGGAGTGGACTTCGTCACCGACCTGCCCCTGTCTGACAACCACACCTGCATTCTGGTCGTAGTGGACCGCTTCTCCAAGGCGTGCAAGCTAATTCCCTTCCGGGTTTGCCAACAGCCCTTGAAACAGCTGAAGCACTATTCCAACACATCTTCCGTAACTTTGGGATCCCAGAGGACGTAGTCTCCGATCGAGGCCCCAATTCATCTCTCGAGTGTGGAGGGCATTCTTCAACCTTCTGGGAGTGACCGTCAGCCTCACTTCTGGATACCATCCCCAGTCCAACGGCCAGACTGAGCGGAAGATCCAGGAGATTGGGAGATACCTGCGGTCATACTGCCACGACCACCAGGACTGCTGGAGCCGTTACCTGCCCTGGGCCGAGTATGCACAGAACTCCTCCGACAAACACCACCGGACTCACCCCCTTCCAGTGCATACTCGGCTACCAGCCTCCTCTATTCCCCTGGTCAGGAGAACCATCTGACGTCCCAGCAGTCCACCACTGGTTCCAGACGAGCGAGAGAGTCTGGGACTCAGCTCATACCCACCTCCAGCGGGCTGTTCGGAGACACCAGAACCAAGCCAACCTTCGCCGTGCCGACGCCCCTCACTACCTTCCCGGACAACTGGTCTGGCTCTCCACCCGGGACATCCGTCTCCGACAGCCCTGTCGGAAGCTGAGTCCCAGATATATCGGTCCTTTCCCGATTCAGAGGCAGATCAACCCCGTCACCTACCGGCTGGCACTCCCCGCTCACTACCGCATCGCACCCACCTTCCATGTCTCCTTGCTCAAGCCGTACACTAACCCTCTCACTCCTTCTTCCCCAGGGTCTGGTGCTGCGGAGGTGCCCCTCCCTCCTGCGGACCCGAAGATGACAACATCTACGAGTCCATGAAATCCTCGACTCCCGACGACGGGGCGGCCGCTTGGAATATCTCGTGGACTGGGAGGGATTCGGTGCCGAGGAAAGATGTTGGGTCAACCGGGGGACATTCTGGACCCCTCGTTACTCCAGGACTTCCACACCCACCCACCCAGATCGTCCAGCGCCCCGTAGCCGTGGTCGTCCCCGTCGTCGGTCCCCGTCCCAGCTGGAGCTGGCCGTGGGGGGGGTACTGTCACGGATCCATCGGCGTCAGCACCAGACACCTTCACTCCGCCCACTCGTTCCAGCTCCCCAGCATACTAATCACTGTCACCTGCCTTCAATCACCGTCCCAATCATCCTCCCTTTATAACTCACTCCTCACAGTCACTCACCGTTCTGGTCTCGTCGACACATCGACTACAGACTCCCGCTACGCTACTGCCTTCTTCTGGAATACTTACCCGCTACTTCAGCCCGTCTGCTTCTCCTCCGCTCCTGGTCCCCGTCCTCCTTCTGGTCATCCGTCTGCTGCCTCCGCTCACAACTTGCAAGCCCAGCTTAAAGATAAGAAATCCACTATCAGACTGTTTCCCACTCCTGAACCGAACTTTATCCATTACTCACCTACCTGCTGTCTATCATACCCACTGTCTCAATAAACCTGGTTACCCTCATCTATCTGTGTCCTTCTAGTCTGTGACAGTCTGGTGTTGTTTTTTTTTTTTTTTTTTTTTTTTTTTTAAATGCAAAATTAGATACAACTTTTTTGAGCTTTTGTTTTCCTTACAACAAAAGTGGGAGCTGGTTGATTTAAGATTTAAGACATATGTAATGTAATGTAATGTAATATAATGAAATTAAATGTTTTTGTAGCTTAGCAGAATAAATCAATGAACAAAACCTTAGAGATGTGTAATGCTTTGGAAAAATAATTTTAGACTGGAATGAGTTGGGGTGTAATACATTGCAAATGCTGACCAGAACACCAAAACTCACGTCTTCCTTTATCTAAACAATTATTTTCCTCATCACTAAAGAGCTTATGTCTGGCCATGTATTTTGAAGCTAATCTCAACCCCTGTTACTTCAAGGACAATGAGCTCTTGCTGAGGAAGAGTGAGGTAAATGTCACTGAAATGACAAAAACCTAATAATTATTTCACAAGAACCACCTTCTCACAGTCAGTGAAGAAAGTTCATTATATTAGGTTATTATATATATATATTTTTTTTTCTTTTTTTTTCACCCACCTCCACCCCCCCTCTTCGGAGGACAACTTTATCTATATACATATATATTGGTGTTGTTTAAAGCCCTTTTAACAGTTTGCAGTTTGCACTGAAACTGTCATTTGGACCTTGAACCGTTTGGTTCCCATTGAAGTCCATTATATGGAGAAAATCCTGGAATGTTTTTATTAAAAACCTTAATCTCTTTTCGACTGAAGAAAGAATGACATGGACATCTTGGATGACATGGGGGTGAGTAAATTATCAGCAAAAGTTTTTATTTAAAGTGAACTACTCCTTTAAGAAGATTTTCCATGGGCACTCAATGTCTTGTTCAACTCTCTAATCTAATCTATGTAAATGAAGACTGATTGTATGTACAATGTACTCATTGGCTCACTCATAGATTGTGCAGGAGTATGAAAGGGCCGTGATTTTTCGATTGGGTCGTATTGTGGACAAGAAACCAAAAGGACCTGGTATGAAAAAGCTTTTCATTTTCAATTTCAGCTTATTGGAATCCATTTAACTCCTGGATCCCGTTAATCGAAGGGACACGTAAGATTAATCAAAATTGTTAGTGATGAAGATGTGAAAAAGAAAGTACATCCTCTTTGAATTCTATGGTTTTCACGTATCGGGACTTAAAATTAGGTAGTAGTAGTAGTAGTAGTAGTAGCTTTATTGTCACATAGTCACAAGTACCAGTGAAATTAGCCATTAGCCATTAGCCAGGTAAATACAACCTCAGATGAACAACAACGCACAACATATCACACCATGTAATTATTCATTTAACAAAAACTACAGGCCAAAATGGAGAAGCCATGTGTGGAAACCAACAACTTACTACTTCCATGAATTAAGTAGCAGCCAGACACTGCTAAAACCCAAGAGCTAAATCTCAGTCTGTACAGGCCTCAGTTAAAGGGTTAGTCCACCCAAAAATAAAAATTCTGTCAGTATTTACTCACCCTCATGTTGTTCCAACCCCGTAAGACCTTCGTTCATCTTCGGAGCACAAATTAAGATAATTTTGATGAAATCTGAGAGCTGGATCACTCCTCCATACTAGTCCATAGGCTTCTTGAGGGATTGAAACTTGCTGGCCTCGAAAAGTTATAAGACATCGTTAAAATAGTCCAAGTGTCTTCAGTGGCTCAATCTGACTGTTACAACATTGCTATATCGGTCTACTGACACTGCCCTCAAGCGGTTCGAAAAAAATGACCATGATAAATGAGCCCTAAATGGAGATGTCTCTGTAAACTGTAAAAAAAAAAAATAAATAATAGGTAATTATGCAAACAAAGACTGATTGAATTTGTTTGGTTTCGTCAACTAATTCTGTAACCCTGAGTTTGTTCAACCCCCATCATGGTGTAGACTCCAGCAAGGACCAGATAACTGTTTATTATATCCTGAATTCTGTTATGCAAAACAATAGTATTCATAGAGGGTGTACATTTTTTTTTTTTACGTGACTGTGCATATTTATATGTAATAAGTCATTAATTAAGAGTATCCCTGATCAAATATATATAATTTTCTACATTTGAATGTTTGAAACATTGAATGGTTATACTCTTCTTTTATAGGAATTTTCTTTGTGCTGCCGTGTACTGATACATTCAGGAAGGTGGACTTGAGAACTGTTACATTTGATATTCCTGCTCAAGAGGTAAGTAAAGTCACTGTATACAGCATAGGCCTATATATGTATTTTTCATTTTAGTTTGTTTTAGTTACAGGAGCTGTATGCAAGAAGTTTAGTTCAATTAATCATACATTTAAACATAAAGGGGTCATGAACTGGCTTTTTAAATTTTATTATATTGTTGTCTGAGGTCAACTTATGACGTTCGCTTGGTTTTTGCATTCAAAAACATCAAAATGAATAAATAATAGGCTATTTTGTACCCTACGTTTGAGCCTAGCTGAAAAACGCTGGGTTTTTATGGGCGTGTCGCACTAAAGACTTGGGAGGAAACGCCCACTGCTGTGAGTGGATAACAGTTTTGCATATTATAATGAGTTTCAACTCACCTGTCGATGCACTTGGGGGAAAATAATTTGAAAACGTCCAATGTTGTAAAATGGCAACCGGAATGATTCGCTCATAGATGTTCGACCCAGAGTCCGTGTGTTGCACAATTCCTGTCAGATCCAATATAGACGGCACAGCACCGTTCTTTACTCTTAATCGGTCTGCAAATCCAGTCTTGTTTATAAAACAATCCTCATTGAAATGAAGCGAACAGACAGATAATGTTTTACCTTATCAGCTGGAACATCCATGCAGTCCTATTGGAATCCAGAGGAAGCTTATGCAGGGACTGTCTTCTTCCACAACCAGGCGCTGCACAATATTCTGTATTGCTCGGTAGCTAATCGGTGGGCGGGGCTAAACCGGCTTCTGCGGGGGTTTTATCCTCTTTGACGTCATAGTTCCCCACTTTTAAAAACGAGTCGTTTGCTGAGCCTGGTGTCAATAAAAGCTTTTATTGGACTAACAAGGACGTTTTCAGTTCTGAAACTTACAGGATATTCTTATAATATGATGACCTCTTAGATGTCAAACGCTCAAGGAAAATTTGATTTCTCAGTTCATCACCCCTTTAAGAGCATCTATATGTGTGTTTATGCGAGAACAGTTCCTGACGAAGGACTCTGTGACTGTGAGTGTGGACGGTGTGGTGTACTTCCGTGTCTTTGACCCGATCTGTTCCGTGGTCAACGTGTCCAACGCAGACCACGCGACACGGCTGTTGGCACAGACCACCCTGAGAAATGTCCTGGGCACAAAGAACCTTTCTGAGCTGCTGTCTGACCGAGAGGGCATCTCATCTAGCATGCAGGTACAAGAACTCTCTTCTCTGATGATGCGATCACTGGCACGAGGGCGGGGCCACCTGTCACTCACATGAGATCCACCAATAGCAAACCACAACCATCCAATCGATTCACCATGGACAAAATCAAGTCCCATCCAAAGCCCGTCTACGGAAAGCCTGGCCACTCCCTATTAAGTCCCATTGTACCGAATTTTGGTTGTAGTTCCACCAGAGTTCCACTGGGGGTGATCGTCCGAGTGCAAAATGAATGGGAGTCTATGGGGCTAGACGGCTACATTTGTCTCTTTCACCCGATTGTCATTGAGAAATCTTAGATTTGAAAGTAGGTTTTGCAAGTTCAACATGGTTTATAGGTCGAAAGTTGAATGAACGAGTACTTATGCCCTTTCGATTTCTTACAGGTTGAGTTGTTGTTGCCCATGCTAGCATTCTGCTAATTGATGCTGATTGGTCAGTGAAGGACTGATTACGACCAGGGACACCGCTTGATGGCATTGTGGCATCCGAAGCGGGACCAGAATTTAAGGCGGACTTAACTCTTCTATCACATATATTTACCTGTGCCAGCTGTGTTGTCGATGCTTCGAAAGAAAGGAAAGTGCAGAGCGCGAAAGCACCAAAGTGACTGAAGGATTGTCGTAAAGCAGGTCTCTGGCCGTACAATGTTTATGACGTCATTGACATTTTAAAAGACCTTTTAAAAGCAAATAAGTGACTCTGTAATTTGAAAAATTGAATCTGTAATTTCTTTGCATCTCCTTTCGAAAACAACATTCAAATTACTAGGCAAAAATTGTATCCTGAGAAAAGTGAATTTTGAAGGGTATAGCTCTATAGACCTTCATTCATTCTGCACTCCTCCTGTGAGCGCCCCCATATGGACCCAGAGTGGAACTGCAACCAGTTCAGAAACCAGAAGTTCTCCCCATATTAGACATTCTCTGTCCCGTCCTACATTTGTTCTTGTTCGAGAAGTCATTTCTTTCATATATACGTCACAACAGGGAAGAACACATTATCAAATAGTGCCGTCACCGTGTACTCGGGTATAAGCCATTTTGGACACCCAGGATTATTTCTTCGCTGTTAAACTCATGCTGTAAATCTAAACCCAGGCATCTGCCCCCTGAGATGGGTATATCATACTCACAGATCCTGAAAGCTTTGTAACATCTTGATGACAGATTGCCTTGGACGAGGCCACTGGCGTGTGGGGCATTAAAGTGGAGCGAGTGGAGATAAAGGACGTTAAACTGCCGATCCAGCTCCAGAGAGCCATGGCTGCAGAGGCTGAAGCAACTCGAGAAGCCCGTGCCAAGGTGAGACCAACTCTAATGCAGTGCTTCGTCTATTTAATTGTGAAAGTCAGCTCAATACTTCACAAATAAAGGGCGCAACATTGAATGTGGGTTGTAAAAATAAGCGAAACGAAGATATCACACAATAGTGCGCACTCCATGATTAGTCTCGCCGAAAATGTGTTTCGAGATCGCCCAAAATATCCGGGATTCGGCTTTTGCGTTCTACAGTTGCCATTCATCATGTTTACTGTGGCGAGCGGGACGAGTGAGGGCCGCGGGAGAACGACGCGCGGCCGGTGGCGTGATTACCGATGAGCGACACCTGTGAGACGCACCCGTCTCGTATCTCTCGCGGAGGAGCGGGAATTTTCTTAGCAATGTTAAAACGCACATCAACCGATCACTTGTTTAGCGTGCATGTAAACACGACATTCAGATTCACCAATCGGAATGAATTCAGTTAGATTGAAACAAGAGCTGTGCATGTAAACAATGAATGGCGACTGCAAGCAAAAGCTGAATCCCGGACATCGACGGCCGGACATGTCCAGGAAAAAAGAGGATGGTAACCCCTACTACTCATCTTTCTCCACAGAACAAGAGCCTGCTAGCTTAGCTTCCAAAAAAAGATGGCCGACACTATGTGTCCATTCTGTGAGTGAGATCGCCCTCTATGGGCGGGTTGAGAACATGCGGGACAGACTCGACTACTGACTCTAGTCTTTAGCCTCTGGCCAAAAAATCCTCCGATGACGCAAAATGATGATGATTTTTTCTAAACAAAAAAATACATAAATCTCTCGTCTCAGGGGGATATAAGGGGGGAAAGCACGGTAATTCGAAAATACTACAGGTTTTCTACTAATACAAAGCTTAATGCTAAATCCTGAAGTATCCCTTTCAGCTGTTTGTCTTGAGATTTCTCAATGCTCTAAGGGTCTTCAGTGATCATTAAGAGAAAATTAAAATTACAGCCCTACAATCAAATATTATAGCCGAGGCAGCTCATCGTATGACACAAGCGGCTCCAGTGTATTATTGTTGTATGTGTGTGTGCAGGTGATTGCAGCTGAGGGCGAGATGAACGCCTCGCGGGCCCTGAAGGAAGCGTCTCTGGTGATGTCCGAGTCTCCATCAGCTCTTCAGCTGCGATACCTCCAGACTCTAAACACGATCGCAGCCGAAAGAAACTCCACCATCATCTTCCCCTTGCCCATTGATATCATTCAGCATTTCATGTCGAAAAACTATTGATGAATCCAGATTGTGCTCTTCGATAATGTGTTTGTGTTCTTAGAAAGTTGTGTAACATATCCATTTAATTAACTGGTGAAATTTATCCAGACTCTTCAACAGACCTCAGAAGTCTCGCAGCTGACTTTCAGCTCATTTAAAAGTAGGAACAGGATGCTTTTACATGATCTTTTTAATATTTAAACCCAAAGTGCAATAAAGTGCAACATAATCATCGCAACAGTGATAGCTACACTAACAAGGTTTGAATCAAACAAATGACTGCATATCATCTCACAGCGTTAAGACATGCTTTTCCAATAACGTGTTGTAACATAGATCACATAAAGCTCATATAAGCTGTACAACACAAATTAGGAGAAGAGGGAAAAAAAGAAACCAAGAGGACATTTCATTAACACAATCATGGTACAATCCTCCCTTAAATATTTAATAACTGACAGTTGTGTTTTTATACCATTTCAAGGAATAGTTCATCAAAACAGCGCAGTCTCATCCCAAGACGTCATATAACTGACGTCTTTTGACCATACGTCAACATCCGCCTTTTTAGGGTACCCTTAAACGTCGGTTAGATGACGTTAACGGATCCTAACCCTACCCCAGACCTAAACCTAACCGGTCACCTAACCAACATTAAAGGTAAAGCGTCAGTTGTATGACGGTCCGGGATCGTCAACTAATCGACGTTTAAGGGTACCCTAAAAAGGCGGATGTTCAAAAGACGTCCCAAGACGTCAGTTATATGACGACTTGGGATGAGACTGTGTTAATCAAAACAGAAACATTCTGTCATTATTTATTCACCCTTAAGGTCCATTCACACCAAGGACGATAATTCTAATGATAACGATAAAGATATAGTTCTAAAAATCTTTCTAAATATAAAAGAATAAAAGATTCTACACCACAACTATAACATAACGGCACAGAGAAACGAAGCATTCTTCCAGCTGATGAACGATAAAAACATCGACAGCCAATCAGAATCCATCCTGCTGACAGGCGGCAAAACTGCAGTGCGTACTTAGAATAAACAGAACAATATTGTTGGATGGTATGGACGCTGTTATAGTTATCGCTCTTGGTGTAAACTGGCGTTTATATTGTATCAAACTCGTAGGAATTTTGAAGTCTTCAAGCAGCTTTCGCCCATACAATGGCAGTTCATAGTATGAATTTAGAACACTAGTCATATACATATGAAATGTTGTTGTATGCAAAAACACTACATTCCCTTATGAAAAAGAAGTACATTCATACATTACATACATACATTAACATAAAAAGAGTACTTATGTGAATTATTATACTTAAGAGTGAACTGAATTATATGTTTTTAGACAGTTAATTGCATGTTATTTGCCATTAAATGAAAATGCATAATAACTTTTCACTTAAAGGGATACTCCACTTTTTTTGGAAATAGGCTCAGAGTTAAAGAAGAACTCCGGCACAAAATGAACCTTTGGTCTAATAAAACATTGGTGCCTAGTCAACCGTTCTCTGAGATTTGTTTTCATGATAATCGAATGTAAGAGAACGATTGACTAGGCACCAATGTTTTATTAGACCAAAGGTTCATTTTGCGCCGGAGTTCTCCTTTAAACAGTTAAACAGTACCGTTTTCGAATCCATTCAGCCGATTTTCTGATATTTAGAAGAACATCAGTAACCAGACAGTTTCTGGTCTCATTGACTTCTATAGTAGGAGAAAATATATACTATGGAAGTCAATGGGACCCGAAACTGTCTGGTTATTGTTCTAAAGGAGAACTCAGGCGCGAAATGAACTGTTTATTACTGAGGGAGTTGTAAAATGAGCCTATTTTCAAAAAAAGTGGAGTGTCCCTTTAAGTAGGACTTAAGTACATCTTTACATATAATTCAATAATTCTATTGTCTTTGAAATATGGATGGATTTTACTGCTGAATGTACTGACAAGCTAAAACTATTATTAACTAAAATGTAAAATAATTGTTAATACTTGTAATATTTGTTATTACACATTTATATGAAGTTGCAATTAAGAAGATTAGAAGTAACACATTATTTTACTTTGTCATTGTTATATATGTTACATGTATTTATTGTAGTAATAACTATAAATGATGCATAATTACATACAAATAAACCAGACCTTCATCCTAACCCTATAGTAAGGATATGTGGTTAATTATTATTACACAGTGATTAATTGTATCATTATACTGTAATACTGACACCTTAGTTTAACTAAATTTTAAATATATTAACTTTAAATGTAATATTGAATAGCACACTGCAGTTCATTTAAGTATGTACTTTAATATGTATTTTAAACAATGATTTAAAAGTGCTAATAAATATAGTAATTGAAAAGCACTCAAAGTGCACTTAAGTGGCTTTTTGTTTTATTATTGTTATATTTTCTGCCAGTACTGAATTAATTTTTTTTTTTTATTTTTTTTAAGTACACTACAAGCGCACATTAAGTGCACTTCTTTTCCACAAGGGTAAAATTCTTCAAAACTCATTTTGTGGACAAAAACAACACGAGTTTGAGAGTGAGTAAATGTTAATTTTCGGATGAACTATTCCTTTAAAAATACGAAGAAACATTCATAAATACCATAATCATGTCCATGGGACACACACAGAAAAAAACAACAACAAAAAAACTCAGTGCATTTCACAACCTGGTTAATTGAAGATTTCCTTTCATTTATAAGTCAAAAGCAGAGATGAAAATAATCCAAGCGCACACCCAAGAAACCTTGACAGAGTTGCATTTTCCTCGGCAGACAGGTAGTTGGTTTGATATTTCAATATTTCATTCGGAGCTTTCGATTTAATTGCTGAGTGAAATACATTTACAAGTCTAATAATATTACATGACACCAACCTTCAAATGTATCATTTAGTTTACACACTGTAGATACAGTACATTTAGTTTACATTATCATGTACTGTGAAATGACATTTGTAACGCACCTTCCTAACCTGAGCTAGATCTCTGACTGAGACGGGAGGTAATGATTCTCTGAGAATGAGCAGGAAATAAATTCGCAAGTACAATGGTATAACATCAGCCATCTTGGTTTGCAACGGCAACTGACATTTTTGCTGTATTTGCACAAATGTTAAGGCTGAATAACGTAAACTTATGATTTTATGTTCTTATAAAAAATCAATCATGGTCATTTAAGCAACTCATAACAATGTAATCACTAATAGCTGCACTACTAAGTACACTTGGACATAAAATAAAACTAAAGACATCAAATATTTGAACATTCATGAACAATATGACTTCCTAACTCTGTTCTATACTGTTCCCAAAGACTGAATCCAGACTTTTACCTCAACGCAAGTGCGAATATATCCACCTAATATACAGGACAGTTGTAATAGGACATTTCAGGGAAACACAGGTGCACTTTGAATACTTTCAGGTTCTTATTCACGACTAGAGAACTTCCTTTATTGAGACCATGGCTTTGAGACCCTGAACGTATTATAATAAACAAGAAAACTCCTTAGAGGGCTGCGTTTTCATTTCAAGAAGTGAGGTACTCATGATAGCGCATTGCTAATGTAAAATGCTAACGCTAATGTTCTGTAGTACTTTCGCAAACCTTTCAGTTTAATATTATGCAGCCAAGTCTCTACAAAGTGGGTCAAATGCCCTCAGTAGTGTCCACGTGAATGCAGTTTAAGCATATTATATCTGGGTTAGAGCAACCGGAAGACTTATGATACATACTGTACAGAGAAGAGAGACACAAACAGCCATGACTGATACCTATGGCGTCAAGTTTACAGGCAGTTCTTACAGTGTAATGCGTTCCGGAGATTTCTGTAAACAAGGCTAGTTGAGATGAAGGCTTGAGGGTTGTTTTCCCTCACAAACATGAGTGAGAAGACTGCAGGTTGAAGTTTTGCAAGTCATTTACACAACTGAATTGTCAGTCCATGCTAATATTAGCATCCTTGTATAGTGGTTACAATATGTGGATGAACCACCTTAAAAAGTTGTGTTAAAATCACTTTTGATCAACATTTAACCCCCTAGACCATATAAGTATGACAAAGTATTTACCTCATTTGAATGACATGTCCATCATAAACTTGCCCGTTGAGATGTTTTCCTGTTGAGTGTGTCGAGTACAGTAATGCCTCGACTTGCACAGAAGGTTGCTGGTGGGTGGCTTTCCTTTGAAAAAAGGCAAATATTCCTTGTAAAACTGGTATACATGATGTCCTGATCAATCTTTGGAAAAGCTTCAGACCATAGGCAAAGGTTGAAGATTTTTCACCTCAGCGCAAGCCCAAGAGCCAAATCCATCAGAGTAGAAGGTACAAAAAGGTACATTTCAAAATGGCCTATGAAGCATCATAATACACAACATTGTGATGGACACAATAAAGTAATAAAGTAAAGAAAGGAGAATAATTTTCCTTTTTTCTGTTCTCTCTAATGTAGGATAATGTTTGTCAAACCGCTCCGACTCAACCTGCTCCAATAAACAAAGCGGTATACAAAGCGGTATTCAAACATGTGTCTCCAGCATGGGAGGCTGGCATGCTAACAAGGATGCTAAAGACTGCAGTCTCCAGTGTGCCTCTTGAGGCCAGGGGAGTGAGGTTTACTCGCACAGCTCTTACTACCTGGCCTCTGTTAATCAACTTCCTAAACCTCACTCACACCTGCGTCATGGCACCAATAAAACTGGTCCTACTCAACCCGCTCCGAACGGGATTCGAACCTACTTCTTCGGCATGGGAGGCCAACACTAACAAGAATGCTAAAGACTGCAGTCTCCAGTGTGCCTCTTGAGGCCAGGGGAGTGAGGTTTACTCGCAAAGCTCTTACTACCTGGCCTCTGTTAATCAACTTCCTAAACCTCACTCACACCCGGGTCACGGCACCAATAAAACTGGTCCTACTCAACCCGCTCCGAACGGGATTCGAACCTGCGTCTCCAGCATGGGAGGCCGGCACGTTAACAAGAATGCTAAAGACTGCAGTCTCCAGTGTGCCTCTTGAGGCCAGGGGAGTGAGGTTTACTCGCACAGCTCTAACTACCTGGCCTCTGTTAATCAACTTCCTAAACCTCACTCACACCCGGGTCACGGCACCAATAAAACTGGTCCTACTCAACCCACTCCGAGCGGGATTCGAACCTGCGTCTCCGGCATGGGAGGCCTCTCGCGGCTAGGGGAGTGAGGTTTACTTGCACAGCTCTAACTAGCTTGCCTCCATTACATTTGTTCAAGCAACAACCTTAACAAATTCGTATGACAAACTTTTTTGTGGAACACAAAAACTTTTTGAAAAGAAGAAATTCTGATGAATGTGCTGTTAGCTCTTTTCCATGCAATTACAACGAATGGGGACTGATGCTTTCAAGCTTCAAAAAAATCTCACAAAACACCATAAAAGTTTATCAGAAGTGATCTATACAACATGAGCCATACATTCCAGGTCTACTAAAGTCACAACAACTGTAAGAACAGACCAAAATCTTATTGGTCGTAATTCACTGAAAATCTTAACATCTTTCCTTGGTGTTTGGGATGTTTGTGAGAAAAATAGCCAATTGGTGAATGAACCGTTCCTTTGAGTATGAATGAATTGCTTTTCAATTAATTAGGGGATCCAGTTTGGTGTGCTTTTCCGTACAACAACATAACTCTCTGAGCAACTAGCATAGTACGATGCATCTTTGGAGGTAGTACGATGCAAAATATGGTTTCAGGAAACAGAAACGTTGAACTTTGTTGGTAACAACAGAACTTGAGACCATAATTAGCTAGCAACGCTTTTGGTAAAAGTACCACTGATTGATTATTTCATGAATAGGACTGATTTTGACATTGATATTGCATGAAAAAGAGCAACAATGTGTTTTGTGTTCCACATTGAAGTCAGTGATGCAGGTTTGGAATGAGTAAATCATGACAAAATAATGGGTGAACAATCCTTTCACTAATAATTGCCTTCAACTATTTTGTCCAGTAATGCTCAAACTCAAACCTTGAACACTGTATTAAAGCCTATCAATATTCAGTAAGAGCAACTTACAACCAATACAGTAACGAGTAAGTTGAGACGTGATGAAACAGAAAACTCACTGGGTGTGGAAGCATCTTCTGTTCCATCCAATCAGAAACCATGATGAGAAATATAAGTTAAAGATACAAAAACAGAGTGTCAAAAATAGCGGCGGAGAATTGGACACTCATCTAGGGAAGGGCTGTTGTCGGGAGGGTGAAGAAGGACCAGAGACTGGTCGATGAAGAGGCGACTGGGTGGGAGACATTCGAGGGCTCAACTCGCCCGTTTGAAGACGCCACATAAGCTCTTCGTTGGTGCGACTCAGTCGCTTCTTCTCGTTGCTCTCTTTCTCAACGTACACCTGCAGGTTGGCGTTTTCCTCTGACAGTTGCCTGGTAGAATAGAGGAAACAACTAATGAGAATTCTTCTGTAGCTTTAGGCCACGTACACACTGGAAAGTTTCAGGAGTGACAGAGTGTGTCTCCTAAATTAATGTTCCGTGTTTGTACGGAACACGACTCAAAATTGTGATGATTGACAGCATGGTAGTCATAGCGACTTTCTGGCATCTTGCATGTTTGGTATCCGTTAAGTAACATTACAGCAACCAAAGATTTGTTATATTCTTAAATTTGAACTAAACCCCGTCGACAAAGGCGTTGTGTTTTCTTTATGCTTGAAAGGCTCCTACGCAGAGCTCGATCTTGAAGTTCTGCCATATCCACTCATTATAAGCGCAGTGTTGTAGTACTCGAGACTCGGACTCATCTCGGACTCGGTCTCGAGACCATATTTTAATGGTCTTGGTCTTGTCATGGACTCGGAATTGACTTGTTCTCGAACATTTTTTTTTTTTTAGGACTCGGAATTATTCCCGAGTCCACTCGAGTTCAATTAAAAATATTTTTCATGATTATTAATGTATGTTAATAAAATTCTTCTTTAAATTGATTGACACGCCCAGTGATTGGTGATTTTCTAGTGCGCAACTGCGCATGACAAATTGTAATAAAATTACTTTTAACACCACCTACTATGTGGCCTTTTTACCCTAAACTGATCATATTTTTTAAACTCTAAGTAAATTCAGTAAAAAAAAAAAAAAAAAAAAGGATTTCTCTAAGTAAATAAAAGTAAATTAGGTAATCAACCCTCACTGGTCTCGGTCTCGACTTGGACTCGACCGTCTCTGGTCTCGGACTCGACTCGACTCTCTATGGACTCGACTCTCTCTGGTCTCGGTGTCGACTTGGACTCGAGTGAGGTGGTCTCGACTACAACACTGTATAAGCGTTTATTTTTGGGGTTTGTTGTCTGCTCATTAAGCGATCAATTTTATGGAGTTATTAAAAGTTGGGAAGGTGCGATATTTTGGGTGTGATTTAAGTATTTGTACTTACAGTAACTTACTTTAGTTTATTATGGGCTTGTTGTTGTTCACTGTTTTTTGTAATAAGATCTGGCGAGTCAAGACTTGTAACTCTTTCCCTGTGGTTTTCTTGCAATGCACACATACATAAGAGACATACATCTCTGATACAAGTTAACAGCAAATGCTGACCAGTATTTAAAAGTTGAGCAGCAAGATCATTGGCTACTAATACAGCAGAAACCAACCTGGGGTGCGTTTCCCGTACAACGACGTAGTTCGCTGCTTCACTGCCATAGTTCGATGCATTGTTGGAAAAATCAACTATCTAGTCACGACCCACTGTCACAAAGTATCGTTCCACCACGTTGGTTTCGCACGTGGTGGAGTAATAACTACTCCTAATGACTGTTTGAGATCCAATTAACGCTAGATTTGTTAATATAAATTACAGACATGTCATCTGAGGACTATTTCTAATTGTTCTCAGTTGTTTTGCTTTATTACCGGACTCAATAGTTGGCTCATTCTTACATAGTCAAGTACGTTCGCACATGCGCACTCGTCAAACGCGGTACTTTAAATCTTTTGAAAAACGAATAGACGTAAATTACAATTGTACGTATTCTAAATAAAAGGCACCGGTTGTACTGAATGTCAGTTTGCTTATTTTGCTCAAGATAAGGATTTATTACGTCCAAATGTAATGCAATATAGAAACAATGCCTCTAACCACAGGTTGAGAGCTGTCGTTCAAACCACCCAACTATGCGATGCTGTTTGCGAATGTCCGTTGGAACGATGGTTTCGGGAAACACAGACTCGTTAAACTATGCTGATAACGACGGAACTTGCGACCATAGTTGACTAACGATGCTTTCGGGAAACGCACCCCAGATGTGCCTTATAGAGAGTGATGTGATGACTTGCGAGCAGATTAAGTTAAAGGAGCAGGAGAATACTCCTGTTCGAGTTATTTGGTTCATTCAACGAACGATATGAACGAATTGACTCGGAAAAAGATTTGTTCATTTTGATGAACGAGTTCGAACAGGAGAGTAACGAAAACGAATCACAGAACAGAGCAAGGCGACATTTGAGCTTATTAAACTTAAACTTTGTTTCTTTTTTTCTAAATAAGACCCTTATTCATCGTCTGGAATCGTTTAAAGCCCTTTGAACAGTTTGCAGTTTGCACTGAAACTGTCTTTTGGACCTTGAACTGTTTGGTTACCAGTAAAGTCCATTATAAAGAAAATCCTAGGATGTTTTCATCAAAAACATTAATATCTTTTTGACTGAAGAAAGAAAGACGTGGACATCTTGGATGAAAAGGGGGTGAGTAAATTATCAGCTAATTTTTTTCTCCTTAGTATGTGCAGTCTAGAATTTCATGACAGAATTTTGTATTTGATTTACTTCCTACTGTGTACATTTAATGCTATAAACTAGAAATGTTTTATAAAGACCTGGATGTTGCGACATTGCGGTCAATCCTGTCTTTTAGGTCTTCATTTTGCTGCTGCAACACCTGAATACGCTCCTCCAACAGAACGTTCTTCTGGGCCTGTGCAAAAACATGACAAACACACTAAATCACTGAAAAACTGTGACATTTCTACTTTCAAAGGAGAACTTGGTGGTTTATTCCTTATTATGTAAATTCAAATGAGATGGAAACTCTTTGTCTCATCTGGTTGCCCGTTGATGGCAACATTGCCCAAAAATTGCCCTGTGTATCATCACCTTTAGTGTTATTAGATACTTTTTTTGGCTGAAAAATACATCTGCATTTAGGGCATTGTAAAACGTTTGTTTACACATCCACACTGAATGCTGTCAGTATAAGTTTAAAAAGTATAAGAAGACTATCATAAAACTAAGTACACCTAAAGTACAACTTTAAAGACCCCATGAACCTGTCCAATGTTGACCGATTCCATTCTGAAATAGAAGTGTGGGTGGGACATAGGGAAGAGGTGTACTGGGTCCAAAATCAAAAACTTCCCTACAATATTGTATGCAAAAAACAGTACACCGAAAGAGTAGTATGTCCGAATTCATAGTATTTGAAAAACAGAAGTCGAAAATGCCCAGATGACCTACTACTACAGATTCTGAGGTGTTCACTTTACTATCCTGTGAGGCCACTGGGAGAGGATTTAAGAATTGCAATGAAGTTACATATAAAATGGGTGTAATTCTCATTTTATGGAGAATTTTGTTTGGACAGAAATCTGTGTAGTGCAACATGAGTCAATATTTTTGGCCTACTTTCCTACATAAAAACTTTCAATTTTACACATATCCGCTCAAACTAAACTTTTGTTAACGAGTCCAGGGAATAAACGTCTAATTTCATGAAGATTTTAATAATTAAAGCTATCTCTTTCTGCATTAGAACACACCATTTTTTCCAGCTCTGAAATTTTGAGCTCCTGTTGATGAATCTGCTGGTTCTTCATCTCCAGAACCTCTTTAAGACTCTTCAGGTCCTCCTCAATATGCTGATATGGCGCAAGAGCATCCTGTACAAACACAAATTCAAATTACTACATATCTGAATCACATAGGCACATAGGTTCTTTTGCACTGGGTAGTTATAGGAACTCAGTTAGAGGAAATAGCCACCAGGACGGTCCTCTGAGGACTAAACTTTCCCCTAGGGCCATTTTCCTGGTTGCATTTACACCCCAGTTGGAACTCTGAAGTGACATAAATTAAAGCACAGCAAAAAAATAATAATAATTCTGCAATCATCCACCCTCATTCCAAATCTTTCTTTAGTAGAAAACAGAGGACTTTATTTTACAGTCCTGTTTCACATGTACTATAAACTTATTGTAGTAATTACTGGGAAATAACTATGTACTAGTCCTGAACCTACCCCTAAACCTAACCTTAACAAATGTAGTTACCTTATTACTCAGTACTTTCTTTGTAAGTACACTGTGTATACACTCACCTAAAGGATTATTAGGAACACCTGTTTAATTTCTCATTAATGGAATTATATATCAACCAATCACATGGCAGTTGATTCAATGCATTTAGGGGTGTGGTCCTGGTCAAGACAATCTCCTGAACTCCGGTCCTGTGGGCGAAAATGCCTTGTTGATGCTAGAGGTCAGAGGAGAATGGGCCGACTGATTCAAGCTGATAGAAGAGCAACTTTGACTGAAATAACCACTCGTTACAACCGAGGTATTCAGCAAAGCATTTGTGAAGCCACAACACGCACAACCTTGAGGCGGATGGGCTACAACAGCAGAAGACCCCACCGGGTACCACTCATCTCCACTACAAATAGGAAAAAGAGGCTACAATTTGCAAGAGCTCACCAAAATTGGACAGTTGAAGATTGGAAAAATGTTGCCTGGTCTGATGAGTCTCGATTTCTGTTGAGACAGATGGTAGAGTCAGAATTTGGCGTAAACAGAATGAAAACATGGATCCATCATGCCTTGTTACCACTGTGCATGTTGGTGGTGGTGGTGTAATGGTGCGGGGGATGTTTTCTTGGTGCCAATTGGGCATCGTTTAAATGCCACGGCTTACCTGAGCATTGTTTCTGACCATGTCCATCCCTTTATGGCCACCATGTCCCCATCCTCTGATGGCTACTTCCAGTAGAATAATGCACCATGTCACAAAGCTCGAATCATTTCAAATTGGTTTCTTGAACATGACAATGAGTTCACTGTACTAAAATGGCCCCCACAGTCACCAGATCTCAACCCAATAGAGCATCTTTGGGATGTGGTGGAACGGGAGCTTCGTGCCCTGGATGTGCATCCCACAAATCTCCATCAACTGCAAGATGCTATCCTATCAATATGGGCCAACATTTCTAAAGAATGCTTTCAGCACCTTGTTGAATCAATGCCATGTAGAATTAAGGCAGTTCTGAAGGCGACAGGGGGTCAAACACAGTATTAGTATAGTGCTCCTAATAATCCTTTAGGTGAGTGTACATTAAAATGCACGTACTGTAAAATAGAGTGCAATCAAAAAACAAAAACTTTTCTCTAAATACCACTGAGAGCATCAAGGACAGTACCACTATCTGCTCATCCGTGCTTCTGCGCAGCGCTTCTTCAAAACGCTTGGCTCGGTCTCGCAGAGCGCGGTTCTGAAATGTCAACGTGTCCACCTGATCCTAAACACAGCACAGAAACACAACCCTTTACACGGGCCCCCGTAAAAAATGGGGGCACTGTACAACACATGCTGGCATTCAGAGCGAGGACATACAGTACCTGCAGTGACAGTCTGAGTTTCTCAAATTCCTCTTCCATTGACCTCTTTTGCTGCTCGTGTGCCATCCTTAGGTCTAAAAAGAAACAAGCAGTTAATTTTAGTAAGAACACATTAGGATGAACACAGAGTTTGGATTCAACAGTCTGTAGTGATGTTGTTAAGCAAAAGTCAAAACCGGGCCAAACCGATTTGCTATTATAGACCTTTTAGCCCAAATAACGCCGTCTAAGTGGGCAGCTCACTAGGTTTTTAGACACATCGCTTTGATTTCTGATTTCTGTGATGGATGTGTTTGTCAGCAGGACTCACTCTTGATGGTTCTGGTGTGTTCTTCCTGTAAAGTGGCCAGTGTGGCATCATGATTCGCTTCCATCTCGACCATGGCCGTCTCATGGTTTTCACTCATCTCCTCGATCTAACAACAAAAACGGCTGTTTTTTCAGTGTTTAAAAGGTGCTCTGGAATATTGGATTCATATTATGTCAATTTGTGTGTCAAAGTTCACCAAACTTGAATTCAAAGAGGGAAATATCTTTGCCAACAGAACTAGTTTAAACTAGTTCACGTACACTTTGGGTTACTTTCGTAATCCTCGCTGAGCCTTCCCACCATGCAGTCCTTTGTCTATAATGTTTAAATAAAAGCCTCTGTTCAAGGTGTGTCAATGATTATCTCAGTCTTTACACCCTCACCTGTTCGTGATGCCGGGAGCGTAGCTGCTTCAGGTGACTGTTTTGCTGTTGCCGGAGTCGCTGAATCTCAGAGTTGTGCTCCTCCACCAGTCTCTCCTGTAAGGCCTTGAGCTCCTGCCGTTGCTCCTCTTGGAGTGCTTTCAGCTCCCGCTCAAAACTCTGCTCCAGCTGAGCCTTCTCACCCTGCAGACGCTCCCATCGCTGAACACTGACCACTGGAGAGACCCAAAATAGTTTGTTATGGGCAGTGAAAAGGACACACTTAACCTTGAACCTTAATCGTCGGTGTCAAAACTGAAAATTGAGAGACAGATTTAAATATGCAAAAATGTTCAGCCATGTTACTTTCAACCTTGGTACCTATTCTGGTGAAGAAAATAAATAATATATGAGCCTTTTTATTTTATATTCGTGAAAAATGGGGAAAAAAACCCTGTTACCAAAATTTGAGATTTACCAAAAACATATTTTTAATCCTAACATATAAAAAAACCTGGTTTGTGTGCTCTTGCAATATTATAGCAATCAATATTAAATGGTCAACATTTGTAAAAAAATTAAAAAAAAAAAAAAGTATACCAGAATGAGTACCAAGGTTCAAAGACACAGGACAATTTTGACACCAAATGTTAGTTTGTAACAGTGTTATTTTAGTATTACTGAAATATTTTGAATGAGATTTTGTGTTTATATCTTTTTGTTTTCAGATAAAATCTTGGTAATTTTGCTGTTTTTCTTTGTTAGAAAAACTTTGTACACACACACACATATATATATATATATATATATATATAACTACATAGTTTTGTATTCATTTTTTTTTGTTTAGTTTTAGTTTTGTAGTTTTGTTTAAGCCTGGCTCACACTACAGGAGTTTTAAAATCCTAACTGATTTTTCGAGTCATATTCGTGAAAAGGATGCCGTGACCAAGGAAAGACAACTTTTTAATCATCCTTTTAACATTTAACATTTAAGGTTAGGCTATTTCTAATGAATGGCGCCAGCTCTAGTCAGTACAATGAAAAAATGCTATTGATCTCTATGAAGTGAAGCATCAGTTTCACGTTGCCCATGCGCCACAATGCTGCTGAGCCTTGTAAAGTGGAGCTCAAAGTTAAAATAAATATTAAAATAAAGAACAGCTTGCACAGGAAAATTGTATATTACAAAATGGTTAACGTACCAAATTTAAACCTTTATAGCCAAAATAAAATGGAATTGTGCCAATAAACCATTGAATAAACCAGGCACCATTGTGCCTTCATAATATGATACTCAGTGATTTATTAAGAAGTGTTCTTGCTTCAATTCAAATGAAATGTGAGGGAAAGAGAAAAATGTGCAATCTGAGAAGATCAGTTTGGTGTTTATTTCTTGAGTGATTGATTCTAACATTTGTGAGTATGCTGCTGTCCAGAGAAGACTTACCCACTTCATCCCTGATCCTGGCTAACTGCAGGGATAACTCCCTCTCCTTCACGACAGCGCTCTCGCTCTGGAAAACACACATGGAGAGATACACAAATGTGTTACGGATTAGAGCCCGACCGATAAAGGATTTTGAAGGCCGATACCGATACAAATATTTTTGGGTTTTAAAATCCGATATTCCGATATATCGGCAAATTGTAAAACATACATGTTCAATATAACAGGCCAAGGAGAGATGATTGAAGCGTGTTTCGTCTGTTTTTATTTTATTTTTTAAATATTCATTTATCGGCCATTACGACGATATTTTGGAAAATGCCTAATATCGGCCGATAATATCGGCCGGCCGATATATCGGTCTGGCTCTATTACGGATTGCGCCACACTGAATCTGCAAGCTCTCATGAGTGTAGGGGAAAATTATGCAGTGAAACTGATGTGAAATGTGTTCAACAGTGCTTACCAACGTTAACATTTTTTGGTTATAAATAAAGATGAGGGATGAATCTGCAAAAGTGTGAAGAACTCTATCCAGCTCACTTTTAACCAAATAAAACATTCCAGACAAAATACCACTTTAAAAATGACCTAATTATGCTTTTTCACATGAGTCACATGAGCATAAATACGACGTACACAGAAATCAATCATCGAATAAAGCAAAACGACAGGGAGCAAAAACAGTTAAGTAATCCACAGTTCGATACGGATGCTGCAATTATTGGGAAATATGTGAAAAATATTATTTTTAAACTTCCAAGCTTAAAAACCTATTCTAGTAGACCCCAAAAACAAAATCAAGACCCCCCCCCCCCCCAAAAAAGAGGCCCCCTTTAAACAAGATCTCTCTAATTACTATTACAAAACAATGTTCTTCAACCCTTAAATTAACCAAGCAAGCTCCAGATAACCATGTCACAGACCTCTAACTCTATCTGTTAATAGCACATTTACTTCAAAGTGACATAAATAACCATACCTGTAACGGGAATGTTTGATGATACCACAACACAGTGAGATGTTTATGATCCATACTTGTTAATAAGAATCAATGTCAGCAAATGATACTCCATGAGTCAGCACTTTAACACACAGCAGTCATGAATCCTACACTCATTCAGCTCCAAACGCCATCTGCTGTCAAAAAGCACCTGACCCTCTCATACTGTAAACAAACAGCAGGCTCACGACCCCATGACCCCACAAATGCCCTGACGTCATCATTCCCATTGCTCTTACCCAATCAGATCTTCCTCCAGCACACAACACAACACGCAGATCCCTGGAGAGAGTCTTTTCATGAATACTAATCCAACTGGATCGTTCCTCACCGTAGTTACCTTTCATTTCCTGCTGCGAAAGGTCTAATAGAGAGAGCAAGGCGTCCTCAAGGACTCAGTCGCCACCCATAAAACAAAAGATAAATCTGTAGGGTGTAACACTGTTACAACCCAACACACCTACAGCTTAAACATGCTTTAAAAACACATATCATACATGGACTTTCTTATTAGTGATATCTGTTGAGCATCACTGTTACTACCGCTCATCTCAGGGGTTAGGACTTTAAATAGACTCATAACCCTAAACATTTTGGAACTGGTCCGGAATCATATTTCTTGTTGGGGAGAAGTTAGCCCTACATCTGTGTACCAATAAATAAACTAATAGTATGTAATCACATGCATAGGAACATGCTAGATAGCATTCAGAACCCATTAGCGCTCTCTAGCAATCACTCAAAACACCCTAGTGACCATATAGCAACATGTTAAAAACCACTCAACATAACCACATAGCAGTCCCCTAGCGACAAGACTCACAACACCTTAGCAACATCCTTACAAAGCTCTAGCAACCACGCAGAACTCTCTAGCAATACACAAACAAGCACTCACAACAACTTAGCAACCACATGGAAACATCCTAGCAACCACCCAGAACACCCTAGCAATCACATGTAAATACAACACCTTCAAAGCAACACTGTGGCAACTACCCAGAAGACCCTAGTGACCACATAACAATAGACAAAAAACAACTCAGGAAACCTTATTGCAACCACCCAGAATCCACATAGAAACCGCCCCTATAAACTTAGGGACCACATGGTTATCTGCAAACAGCCACCTTAGCAGCCACCCTTAGCAACGCCCTAGCAATTGGCCAGAACACTACAGCAACCATATAACAACAACAATAACCACACACAACTCCTTTAAAAACAAAATGCAACACCCTAGCAACCCCCAGAACACCTTAGCAACCACATAGCAACACCTTAGCAACCACCCAGAACACTACAGCAGGTGCACAGCAGCACATAAAGACCCCCTCACAACAACACCTTAGCAAACGCATAGTGATGGCTTAGCAACCACCCAGAGCACTACAGCAAGTGCAAATCAACAAATAAAGAACACCTAGCCACATGGAAACATCCTAGCAACCACCCAGAACACCCTAGCAATCACATGTAAATACAACACCTTCAAAGCAACACTGTGGCAACTACCCAGAAGACCCTAGTGACCACATAGCAATAGACAAAAAACAACTCTTATTGCAACCACCCAGAATACACATAGAAACTGCTCAGCAATACATATGGCAACACCCTAGAAACCACCCCTATAAACTTAGCGACCACATGGTTATCTGCAAACAGCCACCTTAGCAACGCCCTAGCAATTGGCCAGAACACTACAGCAACCACATAACAACAACAATAACCACACACAACTCCTTTGAAAACAAAATGCAACACCCCCAGAACACCTTAGCAACCACATAGCAACACCTTAGCAACCACCCAGAACACTACAGCAGGTGCACAGCAGCACATAAAGACCCTCTCACAACACCTTAGCAAACACATAGTGATGGCTTAGCAACCACCCAGGGCACTACAGCAAGTGCAAATCAACAAATAAAGAACCACTCACAACACCTTAGCAACCAACAGAGCAACACCCAAGCCACTCACAAAAGTACCATTCACAACACCTACACAACCACATAACGACCACCCAGAAGACAACAGCAAGTGCATAGCAACACATCAAGAACCACTTACAACACCTTAGAAACCACATAGCAACACCCTAGCAACCACAAAGTAACCTGTAAACAACCACTCACAACACATTGGGACCCACAAAGCCATGCCCTGGCAACCATCCGGAAACATCAACCGCTCAAACATTGTGGCGACAAGTTTTGCAAGGGCAACACTGACAATATCTAACAGAAAATGTTTAAATCTAGTTAGTGGCATCATCAATACTCATATCATGCAATGTTTCATTTTCAAACACATCAATATAAAAACGTCAATAAAGACACATTAAAGTACATTAAAACAATAGAATTATGATATCAGAGCATCTGCATCAAGTGTCAGACTCAGCAGTCAGGGTGGGGCTTCCCTCGGCGTAAGAGCACATGTTTGTCTTCACTGACAGCACACACATACACACACATGCATACACTACCATCATCACAAAGTATATAAAAGATGAATGTAGAATAAATATGAAATAAACCAGGTCTTATGCAAAAAGCATCACTGGTCTTACTTTAGCAAACAAGTCACAAAGCAAGAAAGCAGCATCACACACACTCTTCCTGGCATTGTTTCTGTAGGATCCGAACAACATGTAGGATGGAGACACAGAGAGAGACATTGGCTCATGCTAGGACAGAATGTAGCTTTATAAAAACCTGTCAGGGGAATACCATACACACACCGAATGAGAGAGAGAGAGAGAGAGAGAGGGAGTGGAGGACAGACAGACAGGAGGAGTTAGGGAGAATGTGGAAGAAAAAGGCTTAAATCACCCAACAAACGACCTTACCTCATCCTGTTTTTAGCATCATAGCCTGACTATTTCAACAACGAGTCGCGTGAGTCTGCGATTCTACACATGTTCTTCAGAGACAACCCCCAAGCTTCTCGCCCTCTCTCTCTCACACACACACACACACACACACACTCAGAGATGTTGGGAGGAGGAGGGGTGAATGATGGAGAGATAGAAGAACAGGAGGATGAGATCAATAAAGAAGAAAATAACACGTGTGTTATTTCCACACACACACATTTTCACATACAAGCATTCAATCAGACGAGGGAGAGCATTCCAGATGAAATATGATAAACAACATGTCCTATAGTACAGTGACAACACTTAAACTATGGCTAACCGTGACATTTGCGGTTGTGTGCAATAAATTATGCTTCAAAAAGTTCCTATGCAAAAAATGTAAATTCAGTAAGGTAAAGTAAGTGCTTTATGATGATGCGAATTCCATTTGGAACCTCATGTGCTTGTTCACATAACACCCTAGCAACCACCCAGAACAACCTAGAGACTGCACAGAAACACACCAACATCCACCCACAACCCTTTAGCAACAATGTAACAATGCCCTAGCAACCATCCAGTACACCCTAGAAACTGCATCGCCAACAACCACTCAAAAACCTTTGCAACCACATAGTAGCAATACACATGGCAACACCCTAGAAACCACCCCTATAAACTTAGCAACCACATGGTTATCTGCAAACAGCCACCTTAGCAATGCCCTAGCAATTGGCCAGAACACCACAGTAACCACATAACAACAACAATAACCACACAAACTGCTTAGAAAACAAAATGGAACACCCTAGCAACCCCCAGAACAACTTAGCAACCACATAGCAACACCTTAGCAACCACCCAGAACACTACAGCAGGTGCACAGCACCCGGTAGGCAGGGTTTATGACCTATACCGGCCACCGGGGGGCCATTGAAATTTTTTGGCTTCACTTTTCAGGGCTTGTGCGGCACGCTTGATAGTGATTGGCAGAGTATGTTCGGGATGTCCCGCCCCTCCATAACCGCAAGCTCTACTCAGATGTAAATATTAAGGATACTTAAGAATGTTAACGAACAAGATGATCATGCAGATTTCATGCACAGACTTTGCAAGCATGGATTTCACAGGACGGTTTGGAGTTGTTGTTTTTGTTTCTTATACCGTTTAGATATGATGTTGTACACCATTTAGTCAA